TCGCTCATTCTGCTGTTTTCATTGTATATATATATTTTTTAATCCCCCTATATCGGTTAAACCTCCCGGGCCACCGAGAGTCTAGCATCCCTTCAACCCTTTCTTTCACCGCCCATCACCTACTTCATTTGTGGTTAAAGAGTGCATTAAATAATCATAATAAGCATTTATGGGAATCCCCTTCGCCAAACTGCATGGATTGCATTTGGAGAACCTTGTGAAGTGCCATTATTGTCTTAACTCTTTAACTTGACAAAAGAGCCTCCTGTATGTGGAATACATGTGGTTTTCTCACAATTAATCACCTTTTTCAATCTCTGTCATTAGGCTATGTGTTGTCATGCACTCTGTCTAAATACACATGTGTAAATCCCCCCATCCCTTTTTGTCTCTTGCACACAAACACCCACAGTGAGTGAGAGAGAGATAGAGAGAGATAGAGAGAGAGAGAGCGCGAAGTTCAGTCCTGATCATTGAGACCCTCAGGACCACACCAATTTAAAGCTGCCATTCACTTCCTTAAATTAGACTGTAATGTGTTTAAAAAATTGGACAATAAAAATAAATATGCCTATTTTTATCCCCACAATAAATAGCTTTTTTTATTAGCCACAGTTAGTATTTTAAACAAACCCACTGCACTGGAAGGATTTCATTTGCCCTGGATGTTATGGATTTGCTATTTCTGCAGACTGAACATTTATTTTTTGTGGAAACGACATCGACGACATAGTGGTGGATTTTTCACACGAATTCTGACTGAGAACAATTAATTTCGGAAGTTTTTCGTTTCTATGACTTTCGCGCGACTGTGGACGATGATTCAAATTCTCAGCGGATTTTAAATCAAGAGTGTAACTGATAGGCGTCGGGTTTTGAAGGAGTCGTTCCTCTCTTGAAACATCCCTCAGGGATTCTCGCCTCTCTCTGAAGACCTGTTTCCTATCATCCACCAAGGAGCACAAAGACCGGGCGCATACTGGAACTGAAAATACTGTAGTTTCTCTTGAAGCCCAATACAACAGATCTCACCAATACCACAGGATGCAAACCGTTTTAACGGTCAACGGTCTCAGTAAAAGCATCTAATCGCAAACCAATTCACACGAGCGTGAGAGACGTGGAAGCACCCACATTAGGCTGCTGCAAATTAAGGTGGGCAACCGTGTTTTAATTGTGCCATATAACATTTTATATCCTACTGTGCGGCTCATTTGCCGTGTCAATTGGTCTGTGTGCTAAACGTGTGACAGTTCATTATACGAGACCATTCAAACAAAAGATCCTCGTAGTGTACCCAAACGCCAAGTCAAAGCTCGGTGAGTATGGCTGGATATGATTGCCATAAACAAGTATGTAAGTCAGCCAAGAGAATGAGATCGATTGGTCTCGCGCCGGGACAACTCCCACAAGTGCAATCAGCAAACAATTCTGTCGTTTCTAGTCATTCTGAGGGTTTCATCGATATCTATTAGATTAGCATCAGTCCTGTTGTGTGGATGATTGTATATTTATAAATACCTTCATAATGAGCTCGTTTAGTAATTGACACTAAACACAACTACATACAAATATAAATAATGCCCCCCCAGTGACCTTTATGAACTTATTTTGGACCCTCATTTGGACCCTCTATCTGCTCTGAACAACAGCAGCACTGAAGAATGCCCTCGCTCAAGTATTTATGGCTCTGTCAATGGTGTGATTTTGGTACTGACATTTTGGTGTATATCTACATATTTTATGTAATTCTGTAATTCTCAGATATGTACTAAACAGAGCAAGTTTTAGTCAATTGCTTGAGAGCAGTCAGTTTATTTCAACAGAGCATTATAATTTATAGTAGGCTTTTTAATTGTTAATGCTGTATGACTAACTAGGTCATACCCTCAACATTGATCTTTTATTGGACAATGGTATTTCAGGCTTTCAAAAGGCATTTCAGGCTTTGAATATTCATGGAGGTTATTATAAATATAATTAGAGAATAATGTTTTTATTTATTGCAGTAATTTACAGTTTATTTATTTATTTTTAGCACAGTTCAGTCCTAGTGTGTATGGAAGGATATTCTGGACTATTTTCAAAAGGAATTGCAAATTGTATTTTCAATTGTGTTTTCCATATGTGGGCGCATAAATTGTGACAATCCAAACGCAATTGCAAATCTTGCATTACCGTTTGCATCAGGGCCAGCCCACGCCTTTATGGGGCCCTAAGCAGAATTTTACATGGGGGCCCCTCAGTGCTGCCAATACGGCTGATTATTGTCAATGCTTGATTATTCGCACACTATAAATCTAACACACCCATTATCAATTGTATTTGTTGTAAGCTGTGTTGCTTACTGTCTGCCTGGCATGTTTTTACCCTTCTACGATTTTTAATTGTAACAGTAGCAAACCCACAAGAGTGGTCAGGTGTTAATTTGCATTTTAACATTCAAAGTCTTACAGTACTAAGTGGCATACTTAATGTGGTGTACTGAAAAGTAGCTAAATAAACCAGCAGGCAATGTATTTGCGGAACAGAGTGTTATTTTAACAACATAAATTATTAAACATACATAAACAACTCTTAATCTATAACTAGCTAATTGAGGCATAATGATATTGGAATATAGCAAAGACCCCAAGGTAAATAATGTTAAGCTGTTATCAGCACCAAGTTTGTGAAACCGAAGCTTATTTTTATTACAGAAATATATAGCCAGGAAAGTTATTTTTACACAGAAGACAAAAACTTTAATAGGCAGGCTAATAAGACTAGAAGGAGAGGTGGGTTGCACTGTCTGTTTGCTAACGTGCATGAAACAGCAAGAGATCTTGAGACAGGTGATCTTGAGCCTTTACCAATTACCTCCATTGTTCAAAGCATTCGGCACAATCATCTGTGAGTGACGTCACCTCCCAATATAAACACGTCCATTAGTATAGTCCCACCCCTGACACTGATTGACAGTTTTCCGTGTAAGGCATCGGAAATTCAAATGCTAAAGTAATTGCGTTTCCATTTGAGTTTTGGCAGGTTACATGCACGACACAGAGAGTGAAAAAGCAGACGTGGTAATTAATATTGGTATTTAAAAATAACAGGCTATTAACTCATAAGACGTGTGAAATAGAGTTGCAAATTGACTTTGCTTTTTCATTTGAAATTTGGCAGTCACTGTGCGTTCACGAAATTTGCAATTGCATTTGGATTATGTCACAATTTATGCATCCATAAATGGAAAACGCAGTTGAATTACAATTTGCAATTCCTTTTGAAAATAGTCCGGAATATCCTTCCATACTGACCAATGTTCAATTCATTCTCCTTATTATATCAAGCTGGTGAATTAACAACAGTGACTATAATATGCAGGAAAGTCCATATATTCTGAATTTGGAAACCCTACTTCAGAAGTTATTACATTTTTTTGTAAAAAAAAAAAAATTACAAGGAAATGGCACCATTTTAGAATACACATAATAATATATCATTATCATACTCATGTCACTATGTGAAAATTTCATTTTTTATAGTTTATTGCTCATGAAATGAGCTAAGCCACAAATCAATGTTTTCTCATAGTATCATAATGTGGCAATTCCATAAAATCTAATGAGTTGTCAGTGAGCTTAAAATGGCTTATTTTGGATGACATCCCTCTTGATTAGTCATCCTGGAAACCATTTTTGTTTTTATTTTGAATACTTCTGTTGCGGATAATTATAGTGAAGCTAAGGAATTGGATAGATGATGCTAAGCATTATTCAGTCCAGAACAGAAAAGAAAGAAAAAAAAGGAAAATGTTTTGTCCCTCTATTGTTCCGCACAGCATTTTTCTTTCTTGCTTCATTTCCAAACTCGCATTATTGCCTTTCCGTTATGCAATGCGAACCATCCTTATAGCAAGCTGACAGAATGCATCATGTTCAGATGTTCTGTAGCATTCCAGTCTGAGTCACGGTCTGCATGTTTAACTGTTCCATAACATTGTTTTACATTAATTTGGCTTTTATTCCCATTTGTATTTGAAAAGAGGACACTTAGTTCGATAATACTGCACCAGCTATACCAGATTATTGTCCTGACCCACTGCATGCTGGTTATGTTCTCTGACAATAAATGAATAGCCTTCAGACATCATTATGAACAAAACACATCAGACACTATTGTAAGGGTTATTTGTGATGGAGCCTGCAGTTTCTTGTTAATTTAGTGATGTGAGGTGTGAACTGTTTTGGTAGGATTAAGTGGTCAGATGCCATATCCAGATCTTAGAAATGAAACTTGAGCCAGTGCCAATGCAAGACAGGGAGTGGTTTTTGGTACACCTGATTTGAAACTAATTATTTTTACACATTTTGTCTGTTTTATGTAAGTAGAGGTGCAGAAATTACACAAAGAATGTAACTGTATCAGTTATCTGTTATCAGTTAATTATATTCTCAAATGAAGAAATAAATTAAGTCAGATCTTTTTTGACAATAGCTTACAGTCAGTTCATAAATTACACTGTACAGGCCGCTCTTTATGTCATAGTGATGTCAAAAAGCATATATAAGCAATAATAAGTTGATGAGTTATTACTGAAATTTGTATATAAAGAATATAAATGAGATGTGTTCATGATGTAGGATCATGAGCTCATAGTTAAAATCAAATGTATAGCCTGATGATGTCATAATGTGTCCCATCCTGAGGACATGATGATTTCAGAATGTATATCCCCAGATGAGATCATAATTATTTAGTGAAGTATGTGTCATTAAACTGTCATGATATTAGAAGGTGCAGCCTTTTTTTTGGAGTGCATAGTCCCCCAAAACCCCATAATGATTTTTTTAAATGTATCAAGTTCTCATGAGATCTAATGGTTGCTCAGTGTGTGGCTATCTTAGAAACCTCTTCTCTTAACATTGATGATCTAATCACTTAATCCATGTTGTGTTCCCAGTGGACCTCAGTCCTGGTAATGAAAATGTTTGTGTGTGTCTCTACTTAACCTACTTTAAACCCATTCCTTGTCTGTCCTGTTATTTCTGCATTTTTCTACATTCTCCTCCTTCTTGCTCTTGTTTGTTTTTGGTGGGGTGAAATTATTTTTTCCTCCTTTTTCCACATCAAAAGATATGATTTCATTAAAAAAAAAATCAACATATAATATAATATAATATAATATAATATAATATAAATCAGTTTCACACAATAAATATTGAAATATATATAAATGAAGGGCTGTCATTTTAACACGCTATTTTAATTATTTAGTTATGGAAAAAATAATGTGTAAAATTATTAACGCACACGCCCCACCCCGCCCCTACATACATCATCTTACATTTCATAAGGTGTGTTCGATCTGTAGTAGCGGACGTGTAAGTGTATGACATCAAAGTACCGTGAGAACGATTCGAAAGCATACAATAGGCTTGTTTGAGAAGAGCAAAATCTGCGCAGAACTGATCACCGGTGATCAACGCAAGATGCATGCCGGTGTTGTGCCAAATTTCCACCCCCTGCCAAATTATTACCCCCCTCATTGAAGTCGCTACCTGATTGCCTAATCCTAACCACACCCCTAATCCTAACCCCTCCCCCACAACTACTCCTAAACCTACCAAGACTAGGCGGGTAATAATCTGGCGGGAGTCAAAATTGGGCACAACACCGGTTAGAAATGTGTCCGAGGGCGGTCCACCTTGCTCTATTGTCATGCCGACGTGTGTCAAAAAACTCTCGCAACAGCGAGGCGGCCGTGTAGTCAAGCGCAGTTGCTTTCCCCAAACTGCGCTGACCAAAAGCATGATGGATGGGAAACAACTTGCTGCTGACGTACTTCAGAAAGAGCTTTATTGCCAAGTATGTTTGCACATACAAGGAATTTGTTATAGTGTCACAAGCTTCCAGTACACGGAGACAACAACAACACACAGATAATAAAAATGAGATGTGAATAAAATACACATGCATAAATATAAACCACAAAAAAAGAATAAATTGTATGTACAGGTGTGCTATAGATGGAATAGGAATAGAATAAAATAAAATAAGTTGTAGGGATGTACTAGGGTTTAGGGTGATAAATAAGTATAAGGTTATTGCACATACTGTACTTTAATTGCACAATGGGAGAACATTACGGAACACAAATTAAGATATTTTTGAAGGAATCTGAGAGCTGTCCCATAGACAGCAAGGGTCCTTACACGATCAAGAAAAGAAAAAAAAATAACGAGGAGGAGCGCAGGAGACGAATTGTTGAATAAAGTCGTTATTTTTTTTCTTTTGCGCACAAAAAGTATTCTCGTAGCTTTGTAAAATTACGGTTGAACCACATGGATTATCACATGGATTATTTTACCGATGTCCTTGCTACGCTTCTGGATCTTGATCGTGTTATGATCCTTGCTGTCTATGGAGGGTCAGAGAACTCTTGGATTTCATCAAAAATATCTTAATTTGTGTTCCGAAGATGAACGAAGGTCTTACGGGTAAAATGCATCGATTCGCTACAGGAGGCCTTTGTTCACCCCCCGGAGCCGTGTGAGACACTTTTTTTTGTGGAAGGGTGCTTTTTATTTCACGTCATTTGAACCGAAGCACTGCAACACCCGCTGAGTACAACGATAGAGCTTGAAAGATCAAAGACAATTTTTAATATAACTCCGACTGGATTCGTCTGAAAGAAGAAAGTCATATACACCTAGGATGACTTCAGGGTGAGTATGGGCTAATTTAAATTTTTGGGTTAACTAACCCTTTAAGGGTTTGGAACGACATGAGGGTGAGTAATTAATGACAAAATGTTCATTTTTGGGTGAACTATCCTTTTAATGCTTATTGGTTCAAACAACTGTGATGTTGCGTTCTTTTCTAAAATGCTTGATTTTTTTATATCTGATGTGATTGTATATTTAAATTATGAATATTCCCCAACACTATGTCAGTGCGATCTCTGTGTGAGATACGTGATTGTTGTCATATAAAAAAAAAACATTCTAAAATACCTGTTTGTATTAAAGTAAAAATAGATGAATAATATGCCTTTCGAATGAAATTAAATAGCAAGAACTTTGGGTGTCTTCTTGAGTATCCAATCTTGGTGTGTTCTCTTTATAATTACATGTTTCTCAATCATTTCAGATACTTGAGAAAGACAGAGGTGGTTTACAGCAGGCATGGCAGCCATAGCAACTGTCCCCAACTACACCCCATCGCTATGGGTACGGTTATGCCATGCCATTCCTCGCCTGGACTTGACCCTGCAGACCCGAAACAGCATGTTCACTCCAGACAGCTGGGAGTACCAGCAGGTAACCCTCTCTCTCATTCTCGCTCAATTCTCTCTGCCCTCTCCTTGTTTCTCACCCTCAGAAACAATTTTCACACCTGACAGCTGGTGGTGGGTGTGCTCATCATTTGGAGCGACGCTCTCTATTTTCTCTCCTTTGTGTGCACCCTCTCATTTTGTCTAAATTATATCTCATATATGCAGTATAGTGTATGAACAGTCAGAAATGCATTTTTTGTTGCTGTCAGAAATATCTTTTATGTTGACTTGCACAATATACTCTAATTCACAGCACTCTTATTGCTGTAACACAGACTCTTGGACTAAACTGGAGTGTTATAGTCAAAACAATTAAAAGCACTTTTCTGTCTGCAGTTTAAAGATGTATTGACTCAAACTTGAGTTTGTATCTCACATTCTCTAATGTTCAGTAGCTAAAGAGCCTTTCTGATTGACTTACAGTATCAGAGACTGAAAGCACGATGGACTGATGTAAAAATGATAACTCCATTATGGCAGATACATTTACTTACATAAGTGTGTTTCCACATCAGTAAGATATTGATAAAAGATATGGCTATAAATGTCCAGCACATTAGGACAGGAACTATGATGCAGTGACCGTGGCTTAAATCAGGGTACATTTCCATTTTTGTTCAGAAAGCATTAAATATATAAAATATTAATAAATATATAATTATATTTTATATACTATAACGTTAGTTCTGGTCATCAAATTTGTTTGTATCATGCTTGTCCGCGATTGTACATCCCAGAAAGGCTCTTAGTCTAAGGAGGAGATATTTCAGTGTCAGGTTATGTAGGTAACATTATTATGCCAGTTAGGTGGTCTACAGACACCTTGGCAAAAGAATCGCCATTGGCTAATACATTTTTTAGTTTAGTTTATTAAATATCTGATATACTATTTTATATATATATATATATATATAAAGCTTATGTTTGTAAAATGGCACAGCTTTTTAAATTTTAAATATCTGAAGGTACACTCTTAACATCAGTCAGTCAAGCACTATAATATGATATCATGATAATCAAGCATTATTTAATGATAGAACTTTAGTAATTAAAATTAAAACTTGGTAACCATATATGAATGCATATTTGTCATTTTAACTGAACTTAGCACTGGTAGTGATGCTTAAGATATTGTTGGTCATTCAGTGTTTCTGTAAAAAAAAGGGGGGGAAAACTAACAATAATACTGATAAGATAGTTATAATACTATGAATTCTATTACTAATAACAATATAAAATGCACTAAGGATTAATGAGCTGCTGGGTTCATGAATATTGATCACGTTGTCTGCGTTTGCTTGAACTGATTTGCTGAAATCAAAACAGGGACGATAATAGGTGACTGGTCATCAAATTTGTTTGTATCATGCTTGTCCGCGATTGTACATCCCAGAAAGGCTCTTAGTCTAAGGAGGAGATATTTCAGTGTCAGGTTATGTAGGTAACATTATTATGCCAGTTAGGTGGTGACAAGTAATACCGATTAATTCAGGAACTAAACAAGTCTTGATGCAACCCTTTATGCACACCTTGTCAATAGAATTGCCATTGGCTAGTAAATTTTTTTTAATTTACTCGCCAGATTGATATACAATAACAATATAAAATGCACTAAGGATTAATGAGCTGCTGGGTTCATGAATATTGATCACGTTGTCTGCGTTTGCTTGAACTGATTTGCTGAAATCAAAACAGGGACGATAATAGGTGAGCGCCAGCCAGTGAGTTTGCCGTTTGCGCATTAGTTCCACCCACTACCGGAGAAACCGGCAGTATCTTGTTGTTCTTAAAAGCTGAATTATTCCAAATGAACTCTGTTATTTTTACAGGAAAATATAAAATAGTATATTGTTTACATGTAGCGTGTCAATTCTACATGGTATGTAAGACTCTCTCGCTCGCTCTCTCTCTTTCTTTGCATGTGTGTGAGAAACAGTGCTCTCAGCAAAGCGATGGCAAGTCATGTGCCTTTACTCTAGAGCTTATGGTACGTCAAATACAGGTGCGCTGCGTATCCATTGAGATGAACTGAAAAAATAGCACAGATCGCTTGACTGAGAGTGAAACTCTGAAACTTATACTTAGCCTCCAGCTCACACACTGGCGAGTAAAATCTAAGAAATTATTAGCCAATGGCCAATGTTAGACATCATTTAGTCGCCCAGAGTGAAGATTTAGTCGCATATGCCAGTGATTTACTTGCATTGTAGCGGGTTGTTATGAATGAGTCATTGAATTGTTCACTCAATGGATTTGTTCAAAACACTGAATTATTCCACATTCAGGAATGAAAGTTCTGTGTATTGTACCATCATTGCTAGTTCTAACGTGACATATGAGCATAACTAGTAATAAGAACATATCTGTTTTAGACACATCTTAGACACATCTTCACTATATAAATATATTTTAATTAATCATCAAAAGATAAAATAGAAACAGGAATTACATGCCCCTTGATGCAAGTAATTTCTCCTATCCCAACTTAATTATGCAGACTTACAGAGACAACGATAAGTCTCACCTAAATAGCAGGTTGATTTTCCATAAAAAAGGTGCAAACAATGCTATCAAAACATCACAACCAGCCCGACAGTGCAACATCAACTAATATGTTTGCTATATGTTTGTTTGACCAATAAAGGGCAAACCTGTTTATAAACAGTAATTATAGAGTGCAACAGTGCCCACCCACTTTTTCAGTGGCCTTGGTTCAAGAAGTATTTTTCCCATTCTTCTGCCCGTAGGAATATATAAAAAAAAAGTCTATTAAAGAGTTATAGGCCATTAAAATAAAAGTTTGTATTTGTAATGCTGTGATTCACCTCAGAGATGCTTGAAGCATTTGGAGCAAAAAAGGTACAAGACTGCGTACTTAACATCTTTAATGAAGGAATTCCGCATTACAAAGACTTAAGGCTATTGATTTAGAATATTTTATTATAAGTATGCGAGTATAGAAAAAATGTAGTTTACTTTTATTACAAAATAACAAGATGTACACAAATATTAGTAGTTTACAAGTTTAGGGAGACTGTCTCGATATCTTTTGGAGTGCTTCATGGAAGTGGCCAATCACTGCAGAGCTCCTTTAGCACCAGTTGTTTGCCACCATTCTGATTGGTGGATATTTCTCTGCAGGATCATGGTTAGTGCATTTCTTCCGCAGGAATTGCACTGTAAAACATGATTGTTTTAAATTAAGATAAAATAACTTCAGATGTCATTGATAAACAATCTCTTCACTGGTAGATCTGTCTTCTTAATTAACGTTAAAAGTCAATGCCTCTATGGAGAAAATGAATGGGATTTTTACTTCTGGAATCCGACTGTTGCACTGTATTTTGTTCAATTCCATTTGATGATGCTTGCAGAGGAATTAAACAGCCGTTGTGAGGTTACTCTTAGAAAAAGAAATAGCTTCACCACAAATTGATAAAGTTGGAAGAGACAAAGCCAGATTATGCTGGATGCCTGAATGGGTTTAAAGGATAAGACACAGATGATAAGAGAAAGATGTGCTAAATAACAGAATGTGAGAAAGGAAGAGAGGAGAAACGAGAGAGTGAAATCCTCGTGGATATTAGTGGGAATTGGGAAGGGGAAATCAACGAAGAGGAGAGGGAGCAAGAGATGAAAAACGAGCGAAAATCAGAGGGAAAAGCAGTGAATGTATTTAAGTAGGTCACAGATTATTAATAGAGATCCAGTGGCGTGAATAAAAAGAAAGAAAGGGGGAGAAAAGTAAGGGATGAGTGAGCGGAAGAGAAAGCATAGAGAAAAACCATGGGGAAAAGAGAATGAGAGAGTGGGGAGAGAGTGATAGAGAGAGAAACTGAGGAAGATGGATTGGGATCAGATTGAAGATGTACAGTATATGAAACCTGAATGCACAATATGTGTTTGAATCCAACGGAAACCTTTAATTACACCTCCTCTTTCTCTCTCTTTGAGTGGAGCATCCATGCTGTATTAGCCAATCAGATTAAAGAGACATCCTCCATTTTATGTCACACTGCTTTCTATACAATACATGCATGTGCTTGAATGGTATGCAGCTATGCAGTGTATATTCTGTGCTAATTTTTACAATGAAAACAATTTGTTGTAGGATATTCTTTGAAATAATTTTAACTATAAATTCCCATATGCAAATGTAATTTCCTAGGGCTGTCATTGCATTTTGCCCGTGTTGAGTAACCGGCAAAATACCGCCAATATCATATATGTCATATATTGTCATATATTACATTTCTGTTTGGGTTGCTGCTGTATTTTGACAAATAATTACAAAGAAACGGCAAGTAACACACAAATTTTGAAGTAGAAAGACTGAAATAGTGTTTTCTTGTAAAACGCACTCCAATAATCTTTGTATTATTTACAGCTTTGAAAAATCTTTTTTTTACCATGTACCTAAAATTAAAAAAGTAATTCATTTTTAATGAGTTTAATGATGATCAGATTCAATACTTGATTTCAAATCAATTGCTCATTTTTTAGACCAATGACATCATCTAAAAACTGATATTATGTGCTCGGCCAACTAATATTCAGTAAAATTTCTATGTAATAATAATGAAGTCTTGAGTGCTTGGATGTCTTTTCTTCATACTCATTTTCCATCTTCTCTTTCCACAGACTCTCCTGGTCCTCTCCAGCTTCTCCGCCATTGCTCTCGTCCTCTCATTACTTGTCGTTCTCTTCTTCCTCATCCACTACTGCTGCTGCCGTCGTGGTGAGGGGGGCCGGGATGCAGAGGAAGAAGAGGAAGATGATGATGCCAGCGGTGGCCATGGATACAGCGGCAGAAAGGGGCGGGGCATCTGCTGTGTCACATGGGTATCGGTTGCAGCCGTCACCTTGTGTTGGTAATGCCTCTTAATGACAGTAATTTTCAGATGCCAGTGATTACTATCTGTTGAGCAGATGTTCTTAATTCAAAATACAAAAACACACCTTTTATGATTTTGCATTTGTAAAGCTTTTATGTTTCGCCCTTCTGGCACTATAATCATGCAATGCAAAAATTATATTTATATTTTAAATTGATATTTTTCGAGTAAAGGTGTGGTCACAGTAGACTATAATATTTATATAGTAATACAGTAGATTATAATATATTTACTGAGAAAACTGTTTTATTCTGTTGATACCTTTGAAAAAGTTTTGAATCAAGTTCATTTAAAAAGTTGTGAGAATTTTTATGAAAAACAGGTCTTATGCATCTTATTACAAATGTTTTTAATATTTATTTAAAAATAAATTATTATTATGAAATGTATTTAAAAACAAAGAAATGTATAATAATTTGCCAAAGTTTAGTGTGACCACATATTGAAAGCGATCAACAATAGCTGACCGTTTTAGAACAATAGAGTCCTTTTAGAAAATCCACTGAAAGTCATTTTCCTTAATAGAAAATAATTCTCCATAATTTTTGTGTGTATTGTTATAGTTTTATGTGCAACCACTGAACTTTGATGACGTCATCTGTGTCTTGTTTATGACTTCTTCAGTGATCAAGCAATTTGCATCATTTAGAGAGCAAATGACATTTATGACCTGAGATCATCCATTTAGTTCCTGTGAGAAAGTACTATTGAGAGAAAAAGAAAAATGTTCCCAACTGTATTTAACTCGCACCATGTTGTGCTTTCACACATATGAGTGCAGAATCAGAAAACTGTTCAGGGTTTCTCTTATTAGCAGTAACCTTAAAACCTTATCTGTCTAAGCTAAACAGTAGCTTTTTCCCACTTCTAAACTAGCATTATAAAGATATCACGCTTTGTTCTAAATAAAGCTCTGTTTCATTTGCACATTTGCAAGGGATGGTTTCCTTCAATTATGTTCTCTCAGTGCACATATATTGCAGAACACCAACCCATTTAATATATTCAGGGCTATGAATATGAAAGCCAATGCTTTTTCATGCCTCATTGATCTGAACCATCAGCACGATGTATTAATGTTCTTGATGTCACACATAAATTGTTTGTGTAAATTAGCATTGTTTTTATGAGAACTGGTTTGGTTTCCTCGGTGCGTGATGCAACCATTCTAATGCAGCACGTGTTCCGCCTGCAGGCCCACCCCCATGACATCACCCCCTTCCCATCCACGTTGACCTCTTTTTCTGAAGGATTCAAAGCTAGACGCTGATTTGCAGATGACTGCATATAGGCATGTGCACACCTTTGCTGCTTGCGACTATAATTTCTGTGTGAAACACGTAAACACACATTTCTGCTTTCTTTGGCCTAATCTGGGTCAAACAGTTAGTGAGAGATTGAGATTTGCTATATTTGGCAGGTTGGAAAGGATTGGACGAGCATCTGGCCCAAGCATTAATCTGAATATTTGAATGTGAAATAGATATGTAAATGAGTGGATTTTCAGTGTTGATGATTTGGATTCCAAGATTTTTTTTTAAAGAAATGTATACTTTTATTCAGCAAGGACTCATTAAATTTATCAAATGTGACAGTAAAGAGATTTAAATATTGTTACAAAAGATTTAGTAAATGCTGCTCTTTTGAATTGTTTCTTTAACAAAGAATCCTGAAAAAAATGTTTCCCTAAACTTTTTTCAACATTGTTTATAATAAGAAATGATTCTTCAGCTGCAAATCAGCATATTCGAATGATTTCTGAAGGATCATGTGACACTGAAGACTGGAGTAAAGATGCTGAAAATACAGCTTTGCATCACATGAATAAATTATATTTTAAAATATATTAAAATAGAAAAGTTTTTTTTAAAATGTAATATTATTTCTCTACTGTTTTTACTATATTTTTGATCAAATAAATGCAGCCATGTTGAGCATAAGAGACTTCTTTCAAAAGTATTAAAAAAGTACCGATCCCCAAACTTTAATGAATAAATGTAAATGTACATTAACTAGCTTAAATATGTCTCATTTTGTTTTCCTCTCTCCCTTTTTCATTCCGTTTATGTTCTCTCTCCTCCCTCTCACTTTCTTTTTCTTTGTCATCTCTCCTCGTTTCCTTGTTCATATTTCTGCTTTTTGTAGTGTTGCCATAGGCATCGGTTTCTATGGCAACAGTGAGGCGAACGATGGGATGTATCAGTTGACCTCATCCTTGCTCACTGCCAATTACACACTGGCTTCCATCGATCTTCTGGTGAGAACTCAAATGCACACACACACGCTCATACATTCACAAAAGCTTATTCCATCAATCTCCTTAAGCACCAGAGGACAAAAAGAAATACAGGATGTTCAGAAAACACACTAAATGGTTTCATTACACTGTGATTGCAAGTAAGCGATCGGGGGAATTCAGATGTGTGTGTTTGAGAGTGAGAGAGTGTTTGAAAGTGAGATAAAATCCTCTCTGGGTATTGATTTAGCTGGTTGCTCATATGGTCAATCAATGAATGCATGTCAATCTGATTAATGACTGAAAGGATTGAATTTATTTCCTTATGAAATTAACTCTTCATGAATGGCAAGTCATGTGCCTTTACTCTAGAGCTTATGGTACGTCAAATACAGGTGCGCTGCGTATCCATTGAGATGAACTGAAAAAATAGCACAGATCGCTTGACTGAGAGTGAAACTCTGAAACTTATACTTAGCCTCCAGCTCACACACTGGCGAGTAAAATCTAAGAAATTATTAGCCAATGGCCAATGTTAGACATCATTTAGTCGCCCAGAGTGAAGATTTAGTCGCATATGCCAGTGATTTACTTGCATTGTAGCGGGTTGTTATGAATGAGTCATTGAATTGTTCACTCAATGCCTACTTCTACTGTACTCTTAAGACCCTCTCCCTTCATTCCAGCTTTTTCCATTCAATTCCATTGTCCTTTTTATCTCCCACATATCTTTTCCACTACTCTTTTCTTTTGTTTTCCAAGCTAGACTGTTCATATGTCAGATCTGGATACAAATGCATTGGGTTCATGCCATTCAAAGCAAAGTATTCCAGCATAATCATCTCCTCTCGCAAACCCAGGTTTCAGACACCGTGGCCGGGCTGCAGCAGTGTGTCTCAGGGCCCTTGACCTCCATGGAGGAAGTGTTCGGCGGACATAAGCCAGCACTCGTGCCCACACGCTCCTGCAGGCGTCTGTCAGAGCGGGTCGTGTCTCTCCTCTCCAATCTGACACTGGGAAGAGGTCTGATCCCCATCGCGGATGGATTTTACAGGGCGAATGGAAGTGAAAGCATAGTGGGAGCGCTCACCCCAGCACCTCCTTCTGTAGCCCCCACTCTCAGTCCGTCCGCCAACAGCATTCCTGCACCCTTCTCCCCTGGCTGGGCTGCAAACACACTCATGGTGAATGAAGACTACAGGTGAGGAGACATCAAAGACATGAGTACTAAAACAGTTAAGGAAACAAAATATCCAGATTTGTGTGTTCAGTGTTTAGAAATGTTGATATTTAGTTGATAAAATATATTGAAACACAATATGCTTAAAGGGCCGTATTCTATACCTTTGAAGTACTTTTTTATTCAAGATTTTTGAAGCTTAGTTTTTATGTTAGAATATGTTTCTACAAGGTACAGAAAGAAAATCCTATTTGATATGATCATTTGATTTCTATTTATTTATTTATTTTATAAATACTGCAACGTTCAAAAATTTGGTGTTGTTCAGATTTTTAAAATGTTTTTAAAGAAGTCACTTATGCTCGCCAAAGCTGCATTTATGTGATCAAAAATACAGTAAAAACTATTATAAACTTTTTTTTAAATATATATTATTACAATTTAAAAAGTTTTAAAAATTTTTGTGTATTTTAAAATTTAATTTATTCCTATAATGGCAAAGTTGAATTTTCAGCTGCCAGACTGGCTCAAGCAACATTTCTTATTATTATCAATGTTGAAAACAGTTGTGCTTTTTAATATTTTTGTGAAAACTCACTTCAGTGTAAATTATACACTCACAGAAAAAAAATGTGCAAAGTGCAAACAATTTACCTTTAGGGGTACAACAGCTGGTCACTGGGGCAGTACCTTTAAAGGGACAACTTTGTACCTTCTTTACCCCTAAAGGTTGCATATTAGTACCTTGGAGTACTAATATGCACCCTTAAGGTAGTAATATGTACTCTTATGGTACTATTATGAACCCTTAGGGGTAAAGGGTATACTGCCACAATGACAAGCTGTTGTACCCTTAATGGTACAATTTTTGAAAAAAAGTTTCTGAGAGTGAAAAAAAAAAAAAACTCAATGTGGCAACACATTCCTAGCCTTATGCAAATTTAAATATGAATAAATGAGAAATGAGAAGGAAAAACATTTTTCTCAATTTATCTTCCTGTTTTGAGATTTCTCCGTATTGAAGATTTCTTGTCTGTGTCTGTTGTTTAGGTGGCTGTCGTATGTGCTGCTGCTTTTACTGGATCTGGTAGTGTGTTTTTTTATTCTTCTGGGTTTAGCCAAACAAGCCCGCTGGCTACTTATTCTGTGAGTAACAATCATTGCTGACCTGCTTTATGTATGTAGGTGTTTAGTAGTTTTGACATGCACACAGCATTCTTGCATAGTGTAAAACTAACATAAACGTTCATAGTAGTGTGATTATTATGTATATCATGTATCTGAAATCCCCAAGATAGAAAATGCTTGCAGAAAACGGGTTTTATTTTTGCTTACTGACACCCACTCTGGCACAGAGAGGCAGATGGTGAAAATGTGTATGTGTATGTGTGTGCATTCATTTGCAGGATGACAGTGCTGGCCTGGTTGGCTCTGTTTCTGAGTTGGGGCTCTCTCGGCCTGCAGACTGCCACAGTGGTGGTGAGTATTCAGGCAACGTCTAGCCTGACAGAAAAACAATAGGTCTTCGCAAGCGGACATCCAGCACAGAACACACCATCTGTGTTTGAATGAGTGTGTGTGTGTGTGTGTGTGAGTGTCAGCGCGCTTTGCAGAGACATTTGTGTTTATTGAAAAATCCAGGCAAAACTTTGTGAATGTGACTTTTTAAGTTTTAAAAGGACACACCAGCCAAGATGCAGTCACTTATTGTGTGCTTATGAAAGAGGGAGAGAGGAATAGAGTGTGTTTGTGCGCGTTATAATGAAAAAGGTTTTTCACCCTGGGAACTCGGCAGTCATGGCACAATCCCAAAAAAGCAGGAAAATGGGGCAGAGATTAAAGATTCAATGTGTGTGTGTATCTGAGTGCGTGTGTGTTTCTTTGTAAAAAAGAGAAAAAAATGGATGCTGCGTTGAAGATGAGCATAAGAGGTCTTAAAAGCAAAAAGAAGAGTGAGAGAGTGATGCTGAGTGTTTTAGAGAGGAATACAGCAATAATGGACTTCCAACAGGAAATAATATATATATATATATATATATATATACTGTATATATAAGTGTAAAATTACAAATGTAAGTACACTACTGTTTAAACATTCAGAGTCCCTAGGTTTTTAAAAAGAAATGTATTATTTTATTCAGCAGAGATGCATTAAAATGATCAAAAGTGCCAGTAAAGACAATTATATTCCTATTTACACAAAACATATTAAGACTTGATTATAAGAAATGTTTATTGAGCACCAAATAAGCATATTAGATTGATTTCTGAAGAATTAAAATTATTTCTGAAGACGAGTAATGGCTGCTGAAAATTCATCTATTAAAATAGAAAAGAGTTCATTTAAATTGTAATAATATTTCATAATATTGCTGTATTTTTTAATAAAATAAATGCAGCCTTGGTGTGCATAAAAGAAAAGAAAAAAGACCAAGTCCAAACTTTTGAATATTAGTGTGTATATATGAAGGATAAATGTGATGCGTCACCAATGTAAACCTAACCCAAAATATTAATGGCAATGCCGATGATGTGAAAAAGTAAGAAAGAAAGTGACAGGAAGAGATGGCAGTTGCTGGCCTTCAAAACAAGAGTTTCATTGTCCAAATCCAGCCAGCAGGAACAATTGCCTAGTGCTCCCTCTTTATAATACATACACACACACATACTCCACGTTTTCTGTCCTCTTTTGTCGCTCTCTCTCTTTCTCCTGACCCTCTTTAGTCCTCTTGTGAAGCTCTCTGTAATATTGAGTCCTATTGACTTTGATTAATCACCCACATTCCTTAAGGGAAAGTAAGTGTGTGTTAAAGAGTCAGGTGGAAAACTGGTTGAGGGATGAGATAGAAAAAAATGAGATTATAGGGGCAGCTTGCATGCGTGTCAGTGAATACTGTAGATCAATAGCAGTCAGACCTGTGGGACGGAGAGACTGAGGGAAGTATGTCACTTGGTCACTGTGCCACACTGTTAACATCTCTCTTCTGTATTTGCTTTTGCTCAATTCCCTTTCTTGCTCTCTTTTTCTCTCTCAGGCCCTGAGTGATTTTTGCTTTGACCCGAACACTTTTGTGCTTAACTCCACTCACTTCAACTCTAGGACAAGCACAGGTGCTGTAAAGCTTTTTCATACGCAATTTCTCTGTTTCAAAACCTATTGAGCTGCCTACATAGGCAGAATTGTAGGGCATCAGTTACACTCCCAATGTGAAGGCTGTACAAAAAGGCAGGTTAATCAGGTCACATTAGCAAAATTTAGTGTAAAATAGTGTAGCGATACACAAAGCACTGCTTACACAGAAGTCACTTTCAAACCAAGAAACTTTCTGTTAATCAATGCAGTGAATCCACTGTGAAGTCTGTGGAGAAATCATTTACCCTCACACAAAATTCCCGATTGCTATTAAAATGACTGGATTTTGCTAAAATTAGCCAAACAACGGTAAATGTGACTGCACCTTATCCTGCCTTCTAAGATACCTAATTTTAGACAAATTCTATTGCAGCATCACAGCATTCTTTGTGGGGAAGGCATTCCCAGAATGCATTGCGTCAAGCTCCATTAAAGAAAAATTCCAAGATGGCGGGTGAGGTGAAATAAATGTTGATTATTAATATTTAATTTAAAAGCTGTCAATAAAATGGGTTAATTTACCTAATATTTTTGTGTGCTGTGTTTATGCTTATTATAGCAATGTTAGCTTAGCAACAAGCTCATCCTGAAGTCTATTGAAATCATTGCCAATTTAAGTCTCCCATGGGGAGCATAATTTGTTTCTTAGATGTATGTATTGTTTCAAATCAGTCACTTAGGGTATGTTCACAGGACAACAATGTGATTAAAAACGGAATGGTTTTTCCATTGTGTTTTTGAAAAGTTTTGGATACAAATGACAGCGTTGTTAAAACGATCGCCATTCACATGGATCCGTAAAAACGACTAAAAGTGCTGAATTATGCGTGCCAGGCCAGCAGTTGGCGATGTCACTTTGTAAAGAAACACTATGCACCTGTGCACATGCCTATAGACTGAACACACACAGTAATATGCATGTACATGACGTCACCGTTTTCACAAATTTACAAAGAGATGATAATGGTATAATTTTCAAAAGCATGCACTTTAAAACCAATTTTCAAAAATGTGCGATTTCAGGCCCTAAAACACCATTGTCATGTAAATCAACTGCCAAAACGCATATAAAGTTTTTTGTTTTTAGTTAAAAACGGTGACATTTAAAAACACCCTTATAGAGTTCCCTGACAGTTAGAATGCTATCTTAGGGGCCAAAAAAGTGCAACACGCAGGATAATGGAATGTAAAAAAAAAAAAAAAAACCACGAGTGCATAAAAACTTTTTAACTTGAGTGCCACATTTTTTTTTAAAACACTGTCATGCACAAATCAGGGTTTACATAGGAATACAAAACCACGTTCTGTGTGAACGGCCCTCGACAGGCAGCTGCCTATGTAGGCAGTAGGCAGCGACACAGCTCACTAAGTTTTGGAACAAGTCTAACTGCCCATATGCCTTCATCTCTGATGCATACGCAGTATTACCCACGGCTTCAATCTTATTTTTCTCACTCTTTCTCTTCTCTCTAAATAGAAATCCTGGATTATTACCTAACCTGTGACAGGAAAATGAGCAGCCCTTTTCAACAGGTGCGCAATCTTGTTACATGATGCTGCAGACGGTGATGTCATAGAGATTACTAAAGCAGTAAAAAAAAATAGCATGTTAATGATGGCACAAGGCAGAATTCCCCAAATATAAGGAATTATAATGATGTCACAAAGCACAGATTAAGATTAAAAAGCAATGCTATTTATGTCACGGTGGGGATGAACAGAATAAAGAGGATTATGACATTATAATCAAGATTTTGTAATCAAGACCAAGACGGACAGTGTTTTGGATGGGCTGATGAATGAAGAACTGAATTTGATGTCATAAAAGGAAATTATAAGGACAGTGAAATAACAATATTATAAGAGAAAAAGAAAGGCTCGTTTCACACTGACGGCTTTTCTGCTGCATAATAGAACTGCTACTCTATAGAGAAAAGAAAGTGTATTGAATAATTCCTTTAATAAGGCCCACAAATAACAGAACTGTTACTGAGCCATTTAAAATTATTATATTGCTTCATAAAAGCCATTTTTACTATATTTTCCTCTTCAAAAATAAGATCAGTGTTGAAATGCATGCGGTGTGAAACAGTGTTATTTTAATATCATTGATATACTGTGGTTAATATTTTGAATTAAAATTTTATATTTTAACTAGTGCTGTCAAACGATTAATCGCGATTAATCGCATCCAAAATAAAAGTTTTTGTTTACATAACATATGTATGTGTAGCGTGTATATTTATTATGTATATATAAATACACACACATACAGTATATATTTAGAAAATATTTACATGTATATACATTTATATATTTATATTCTTATATTTTATATATATAAATATATTTAATATATAAACATAACATATTTTTCTTAAATATATACATGCATGTGTTTGTATTTATATATACATAATAAATATACACAGTATACACACATGTAAACAAAAACTTTTGTTTTGGATGCGATTAATCGCGATTAATCATTTGACAGCACTAATTTTAACTTGAATATTATTTAAAGTTTTAGTCATTTTGTTTTGTGTTTTTGTCATCTTTATTATTTTCTATATTATGTCTTTTTTTAAAATTAATTTCTCATTTATTAATTTTAGTTCAAAATGCAATTACAGTTTTTAGCTTGTGAAATTCAATTAAATCAGCAAAATTCTGTTTGTTGACCTGCCATAAGATACTGACCCAGTCCCAGAGAGCGCTTTCCAGCATCCACTCTCACCTTTCCAGTCTGGATAGAGACGCCCTCCCACGCTTTCCAAAGGCAGAGGTATGTTAGCACTGCTTTCATTGCCATCAATACCACAATATGTCTGCCACTGACGGGAAAGATCAATAGCAGCTGTACAGTAAAGTGGATGCAACATGCTGCTTAGCTACTGTGTTCTTTTCCCTTTTAGAAGTCACTCAGGGAAGTACAGCAGATCCTCAACGCCACTGAGGGCAACTTCCACCAGCTGGTAGCACTTCTCAACTGTCGAGGGCTGAACAAGGTAACCATAGCAACCTGCTTTCCACCTCAGCCTGACTGCAAGTGAGAGTAATACTCTGCAGTTGAGCTTGATAAGCTATATCTCTCGCTATATATATATATATTATAGCAAACTCTCTCAATCTACTCTCTGTTTTCATGTCACTCTCTCAGGATTATGTGGACTCTCTGAAAGGCTTGTGCTATGATGGGATGGAGGGGTTGCTCTTTCTTTCCCTGTACTCGTTTCTCTCAGCTTTAGCGTTCACAGCTATTCTTTGCTCCCTCCCTGGAGCCTGGAGGAGTTTCCACAGGTCAGATGAACTTCATCCCTCCACCCCGTCCAACGTCCCATCTGCTGTTGTTTTCAGAAATGGCATTATAATAATGCTGTTAATTATTTTGATTTGTTAAGATGGATGAGGTACATAAAAAGTAGTGTTGCTTTTGAAGTAAATATTATTATATCATATTATGTAGTTATATCATTCGGTAAATATGTTTTTTTATAAAAAAAAAAAAAAAGAAAGAAATATAAAATATAAAGAAAATATAAAAAAAAAAGAAAACATTTACATAATTTATAATTTACATCAAGACTACTTCTATTTAGCATGTTTTTCTCAAAATTCAAACAGTTTTTTTCCCATAACATTTTATTAGAATTATAACAAATTAAGTGAAAAATTACGCACACACACACACACATACAAATAAATATAAATGTTCATTTTGTTTTAATTTTACATTTTTAAATAATAATTATTATTCATTATTCATTACTTTTTTATTTTAAATATTTTAATGTTTTATTTTGTGTTTATTTTTAATTAATTAATTAATTTGTTTGTTTTAAATGTACATTGTTGTGATTTAAATCATTATTACCTTCATCAGCTCATGAACCCCTTGCAGATCCCTCAAAAAAAAAAAAAAATCTGATTTTGGTTATTTTGTTTTCATTGTTTATATTTTTTAATATCCTAAAGCATTTTTTGCAGTTTTAATTAGATTCGATCGAATAACAAAATTGTAATGTCTCAGACTTTTGCACTCCACTGTATTTATGAATGCAGAAGGCGCATATTGCTTTAAATGCTTATTTAATTATATAGTGAAATACCCAAGACAGAGGAATGTCATAATATGTGTCAAATGCATCTGGAACACAAATAAAGAAATGTTCGCTGGGAACCTGAAAAGTTCAGATTTTTAATGCAAAACAAGTTACATAATTCCACCATCCTCAACAACGAATGCAGCCAAATGTTAACGGAGGTGGGCTGGGTCAGCTCAACTCCACTATAGTTTGTGTTGTAACAGGGTAAACACCGACAACCGCACTCATCAGCAATGCACAGATGAGAGAAATGTGATCTCAACTTAAGGGCATTAATGCTTAAATGCACTTTACTCCTTATATCTGGATATGGTATTAATGTCGCTATAACCATTCGTTCAGAAAGCTCAGTCACTTACTATTGATTCAGCCCGACTTGGTACACTCCCTCCAAGTGCCTGATGTTAGCAAATCCATCAGAGGTGGTTGCAGTGTTTAATTGCAGTAAAACTGTGTTCAGAGCACAAACTCCATTTGCACAGACAGTAGATGGCAGATGCATAGATTACTGAAATGGCAAAGAGGAGCGAGACAGATTAAAGGATTACCTACTAGACTGAGATTATTTGATTTCATGACAATATCTACATGTATATATTAATGAGAGATTTTTCAGTAAATGCCTTTAAGCCTTTGTTTTGCATATAACATATAGCAGATAAAATGCATACTTATTTCGTAACATTTTTTTTTTTTCACTTTCTTTGTTGCATAATTCTTACTGGATGGCATAGCGATTCAGAGGAATACGAGGACTCCGACAGCGAAAGCGAGGACCCCTTCACTTCTCAAATTAAATTCTCCAAATGCTCTTCAGTGGAGTTAAAAAAAGAATACATTTAAGCATTTAAAAATTATTTATTAATTTATTATTTGTTACTACAATATGGTTCAGAATTTTGGGTCAGTTTTTTATTTTTATTTAAAACAATATTTCTTTTCAGCAAGTATTTAAATTGATCAAACGTAAAAGCAAAGACATTTATAATGTTACAAAAGAATTCTATTTTAAATAGATGCTTTTCTTTTGCTTTGTTCTATTCATCAAAAAATCCTGAAAATAATATGTCATGATTTCCTCAAATATAACAAATATATTCAAATATATTTTAAAATAGAAATAAATATTTTAAATTATAAGAATTTACAATATTAATGTTTTTACTGTATGTTTGGTCAAATAAATTCAGCATTTATTGTTGAGCAGAAGAGACTTCTTTCAAAAACACTTTTGAACTGTAGTGCACATTTTAAAACATTAAATAAACAATATAAAATATGTTATGTTTATTTGTCAGTTTTGTACATTTTTTTTTTTTTTATTCATAAATTGATGATTAATTTCTTTTTAAGTGGCACTTCTAGTCGTCCATATAAGTTTAGGTATTAGAAATCCACAGATTCTAGTTCATTCCTTGAGCAGCTACGCATCAGCGAAAGCGAGGACCCCTTCACTTCTCATCAGGCACGTAGACAGACGGCCACGGGCTCCCAGCGAAGGGCCTTGCCCCCCTTCTATAGTTACCAGGGGGCCGGCTGGACTCCCCCCTTTTCTAGCGCGCCTCCGTTACCGTGAGTAACACATACACAGACACACAGACAGACAGACAGAATGGCCCGACCCATATACCACCATGAGGTTGTGTAGAACACCCACACAGAGATGAACAGCAGAACCTCCATTTTTTTCCTATTTTTTTACCTAATTGTCTGGAGTACTAGGAGTGGCACTTAAAAATAAAATGAAGGAATCAAATATCAGTTTATTCATTGAAAATTAAAATGTTAATAAAAAAATGTAAACTGACAAATAAAAACACATTTGTAACTGTTTATTTAATTCATAAAATATGTAGTTAAATGTAACAATAATAATAATAAATTTTCAAACTGAAAATTAGACATTTATAATGTTACAAAAGAATTCTATTTTAAATAGATGCTTTTCTTTTGCTTTGTTCTATTCATCAAAAAATCCTGAAAATAATATGTCATGATTTCCTCAAATATAACAAATATATTCAAATATATTTTAAAATAGAAATAAATATTTTAAATTATAAGAATTTACAATATTAATGTTTTTACTGTATGTTTGGTCAAATAAATTCAGCATTTATTGTTGAGCAGAAGAGACTTCTTTCAAAAACACTTTTGAACTGTAGTGCACATTTTAAAACATTAAATAAACAATATAAAATATGTTATGTTTATTTGTCAGTTTTGTACATTTTTTTTTTTTTTATTCATAAATTGATGATTAATTTCTTTTTAAGTGGCACTTCTAGTCGTCCATATAAGTTTAGGTATTAGAAATCCACAGATTCTAGTTCATTCCTTGAGCAGCTACGCATCAATGTTGCATTATGAATGACCTTTGCACTATAAAACACATGTATAGGCTTATTAACATAAAAATACAGAAACAAGTGTCATGCATATGCAGGCAAACACATAAAGCTCCAGTCCCACACAGACAGGTAGATAGGCAGGTGTTAGATGGAGCGCACACACAGACAAACACAAACACATGCACACACAGACAGACACACAGACAGGTCTATATGTCAAGCACAGTCTAGCCAAAAAACAGACATGAGTCCAGAGGTCTGTCTGTCTGTGTGTCTGTCTATCGGTCTGTCCGTCATTGCAAGACAGACATAGATCCTCCAATCAGAGACGATGCACAATATAGGTAAAGTCCCGCCCCCTCCGATATTTCTGTCCGCTGTCAAAAATCATGCTGTCCAAACTACATCACTCTTTTCAAATCTATTGCAGTCTGCCTTGCTGTTTCTTTCAGCCTGCTTTTCAACATCCCGTTTCTCTCTCTTTCAGTTATTCTGTTTGGAAAGATCATATTTGCTGTTTTCATAAAATTAGATCTGACATGAACACTTCTTCTCACTTCATTCACATTTCCTTGTGCTTTAATTTTTTATTTATTTTTTTTTACAATAAATCCAAATTCTATATTCTACATTTATATATATTGCATATCTCTTAGATATGTGTTCTCTTAGATTCTTTCAGAAAAAGATCTAAAAATTATTCAAGTGAAAATGTCACATCTCTCTAATTCTCTTCCACCTTTTCTCTTTCTGTTTCCACCCTGGATCCTGGCTCTCAATTCTTTCCGTGTGTCCCTTTGGTGTGGCATGTCATTCTTCCGTCTCTTTGCTGTCCGCTTCCTCCCCCTCCATTGCCCCCTTCACCTTGTTCCTCTCTGCGCCTCTCTCTTTCTCTATGCAGGACTCCAAACGTTTCCTCCAATGGCAACCCTGGTTATGAGAACCTGCCTTTGAGTGACAGGCAGTCCCCACCCCCCTCTGTGAGTTCCCTTGTCTTTGTCACATCACTGCAATCTGTGGCTTTCTCATGATTCATTGTGTTAAGATTCAAACAGATTGACACACAGATCAGACTAAATGACCATTCGCTAAGCTCCGCCTTAAAATGTTACTGACCAATCGCCATCCACCATGTTATGAGACAAGCTTTGCTTTTTTTAAAAATATAATTCTATATAAGTCCTGTTTGTTTAGATGATGTTTAGTGAAACATGTTTACTATTCTACAAAGGTTTGGGGTCACTAAGATAAAAAAAAAATGTTTAAGTAGTCTCTTATGCTCACCAAGGCTGCATTTATTTGACCAAAAATACAGTAAAAACCATAATATGTTTAAATATTACATTTAAAGTAACCGTTTTCTATTTTAATATGTTTTAAAATGTAATTTATTCCTGTGATGACCAAACTGAATTTTTAGCAGACATTACTCCAGTCACTACAGAGTCTAATATAAATGAAATAAAAAATACAGTAACAAAAGTGGAGTGTCTGAAAATGTTTTTTATGTCTTTACAGCTGCTGATGCAAAGCACTACAAGCATCCTGCTAAATAAACCTATACTGGGTTATTACCTACAGTAGGTCAGAAATATTTCCCCCTATATTATTGTTTTTCAAAATCATATTAAGTAATATTTTTTAAATATTACATAAAATGTTATTTAAACTCTTTGACCTAAGCATATAAATGCAGAATGTTGTCCATTTATGTCCAGTACTAAAGGAATCAATAAATTGAAATAAATTAATAAATTATTACAATTACAGCTTTTATTTTTTAATTGAAATAAATATGACATAAGAAATGCTGCCTTGGCAGCTAACTGAAATAATAATAATAATAATAATAAAAAATGTTTAAGTGCTAAAATTATTACAACTAAAAGATAAAAATAAGCTAAAGCTAAATAGAAATATTAAATATGAACAAATATGAAAACCATAATTCCTAAAACCTGAAAATTTTATATAAAAATTAAAACAAGCTCAAAATATGGATGAATACTATAATAGTATATAAATAAATAAATAATAATAAAAAACACTGTTATCCAGTCCCTTTGTTAGATTATGCAGCTTCAAATTCTGTATTTTCTGTTTTACAATTTTTTTTCTTCACTAAAACACTAAAAATGTTTTTTTACACAAATTCAACAATAGATATCTGACAGCTATAGTGCAGTACAGTGTCTACAGGGGCGCTTAATTCATAATTAGGCCTAGAAAAAAAAAAGTCAAATTTTCAAATGTGATTTGAAAATTTTCAGATTACAGATATAAAAATCCTGGACTTATTTTATTAATTTTGGGCACTTTTTATGGCACATTTGCCCAAAGTCATGGTTAATTTCAGACCCTGCTCTGCATTTAACATGATCCTTTTTGTGAAATTCAACCGATTCATTGACTTATCATTTATATGATATTAAAATCGAGCTCTGACAACAGAACAATCATTAATCGACAAACATTAGTAATCAGAAGAAAGCAACAGCTCAGACACCGTTCAAAGCACTGTTCGTAGTCATAATGACAATTTCAACAAGCACTGCATGAGCAAAAACAGTCCAAGTAGAAATTCAAATAAATAACACAAATCAAATGTATTCAGTTTCCCTCCATTTGGTGGAGTCGATGTAAATGAGGCAGTTTGCAAGAGAGCTTGAAAGAGTAAAGGACGTGACCATGAGATAGAGCTACACTCTCTTATCTCCTTTGTTTATGCATAGTAAGATGTACACTGATGTCTAAAAGGCAATGAACGATACATACTTGAACTCTAAAGTACCATTTCTGTGCATAGTTGTTACACAAATCTTTGATCTACTTCAGCAGTGGAGTGCATAGATAGAGATAAAGTGAGAGATGGTAGTTCCTGAGAGGAGAGAAAGAGATAAGAGAGGAGAGTGACGCGGCTGGCACAGCTATAGTAGTGTCTCCCACAAGCACAGCCCGTGTGACCTCAGATAAACGGCTCCTTCATATGTCTCTTTAAACACTCGATCATTCTCTCGGACTTCCCTTCGTGTGTGAGTGTCTGTGGATGAATGTGAGCATCTTCCTGTAGTGCTGCTCTCCATTAAGCTTTTCGGCGCTCCAGTATTTCTCTTTTTGTCCGCCATTACTCCACATTGAGAGAGAGAGAGAGAGAGAATGTTCAGTTTCATCACTTCCTGGTTTCGTCTGGTTTCAGCCACGTCCCATCGTCGTCTATTTCCTTTTGGACGACGAGGAGCATTTCTGCAATATCCTGAGAAAGCTGCTCAGTGAGAAATGACCTGTGAGGAGGAAGAATGAAGAATCAATAAAAACAAAGATCATGATTTATTGGGTTTCATTCACTTATAATTGCACAGAAGTGACCGGCTTTCTCCAAACCAGTTGTAAAAATTGTATTTTCATGTTAAAATATTCTTTTAATTTACATATTATTTTCTCATGTTAAAATCATTTTAGCTTAAGTAGTTAAGCAAGTTTCATTTGTATTTATCACGGTCTATAAAGTAAAGCTACGCAAAAACATTTTTTTATTAGTAATTATGAACAAATTACTCTTATGAACCATTTCCATAAATGAACCTATACAGCTCAACCAGAGTAGTCCGATTCATGAACAAATGACTCTTATGAGCCAGTTTTTATTAATTCTAATGAATCATTTAAAAAGACAAACTCATAAGAAATCATTTAATCAATCTGATGAATCTTTCACTGAATTAACAGTTTTACACCAATGTTATTTTGGAATTACTATATTGTGTTATTGTTTTCATTAATGTTTTGACTTTGCTTTTATTTTTATATTTTAAGTCTTCATTTTTATTTTTAGTACTTGTTATGTGCTTTTGTCATTCATATTCATTTTTTATTTCATTTTGTAATATTTCTAGTTTTAACTGATTTTTATTTCAGTTAGTAACTTAATTAAACTTATTTCAGTTAGTTGTCAAGGCAACATTTCTAATTTTCATTCAGTTTAAGATTTGATCTAATATTTATGTTTTATTTTAGCTTTATTTCAATACAGATTTAGTTTTAGTTAACAATAAAAACAATACAAGATTACTTCAAGGGTTATTACTTTTTGTGAGTTTTATTGAAGGTTAGAAGATTCTCTGTATAATTGTATTTTTTTTCACATAACTAATTAATCAAATCAAACTGAATCGGTACAGAATCAGGAGAGATGTGTGTTGATACCCAGGCCCTGTCTTAGATGATATGATCGCCACAGTACATACAAATGCAAATGGGGTCCAAGAGATCATGTGATCCATCTTGACCTTATGTCTGTTGTTTCCTGTAATATTAATAACCATCTGCCATTATAGTACTGCTCTTGTTCTCATTGAATTACCTTGTTCTGCATCATTATAATTGTGTCTGGGCAACACTGCACTGATTATCAGTGACATTTGGAAATGTGTGGGTCTCATTTATTTCATTTTACTGTGTACACACCTGGAAGGTGTAAAACATGAACTAATGTTTTCATGCAAAAATAGGTTTTTACTTTTTACTAAGTAACTAAAACAAAATTGTAGAAAATATTTACAAGTAATTCTTAGTAAGTCTCACCTGAGTTCTGTTTCTCCACCAATACAGGCAGGCCCTTTTAATTTCGAGTCTAGGTTATAAAACTGTCCGTTGACTTCCCGTACCGCCAGCCAGTGTCTGCGTCTCAGCGGGAGAGACACAAATCCCAGTGACACCCTTGACGGGACATTCAAAATGAAGCCCTGAATTTTGTCCAGGCACAAATTCTGTACTGACCTACAGTGAACCAGAGATATGGGGAAAAAGTTAACCCACCTTTTATGATCATCACAAAGCCCATGATTTATAAAGTGACATTGTGCTGCTGTCACACTCACCTGCGTTTGTCCCACCAAACAGCAGCGAGCCCCCGACTCTGCAAAGCTGCCATGATGACATTGACATCATAGTTTCCCGTGCCCAACACTGAGCGGTGTGGATTCATCACACATTGTGGGGCAAGTCTGCAAAGAAATAAAGCAGAAAACTTTGGCTTTGAGAATATAGAATTAAACATTAGCTCTCTCGCTCTCTCTGTGTGTGTGTGTGTGTGTGTGTGTGTGGGTGTGTGTGTGTGTGT